ATCAAACTTACCAAAACTGCTAAGTTATAAATATATCAACAGTCATATGTATATCAAAAACATTGATTTCATTTATTTTTTTTAAGTAAAGTACAAGAATATCTACATGTAAAACCTTAAATTATTCAAAAATTAATCCTGTGTTTATTCACTTAAAGTGCTTGTTACACAAAAGGGAAGATAATATCACATCATTATGCAAAGATATTTTTGAATGTATCTGGAATGCAAAATGTTACAAAATTCTGTACGTACGATTGTGATTCAAGATTATCAGCATGGGGATTAAAAATGGTGGAAATTAAAAAGTTAATGTTCGAAGTTAAATAGGTAAATAGCAGATAACTGGATAGTTATTTTCGAAGTTATAAATCGTACTGACTTCTTGATTTTGGCTATGTATTTATTCCTGAACGTGTAATCACCAAAACTATTTTTTGGCAAGACATCTTTAACTCTATGCTCCACGTCATTGAAAATGATCTGTAGATATTTGAGTTGGTACATGAACACTGTTCATAAAATACTGATATGAAAAAGGTATGAAACCTTTCAGATTTTTTTTAGACGAGACCGGAATTTTTTGTTTATTTTTTTTTTCCAGCAGAAATCTTGAACACAAAACAATATTTTTTCATGTCTGAAATGGCAAATAAATCTTATTTTGTATTATTGCAGAAATCTTCATGAACAATGTTAACGAATAAAATATTTTATACTTTTTCTTTATTTCAATTTTATGACTTCCTTCTAAAGAGTTTGAGGTGTATAATAACGTCATAGATACACGTTCACCTACCTTTCGGTTGAGAAATCGTTATATTTGACATCCTCCTCCTCTATTTACGTTTTTTAAAAACGCTTCTATTAATTCTTCCCTGTTGCTGAATACTCATCACTTGAAAAATGGAAGAGGGGAAACGCTCATTTGGACGCTATGGGCATCCCCAGTAATTAAAATTGCAATATAACGATGATAACAAAGTAAACAAAATCATCTTAGTAACATAGTTATTCCATTCATGCACTATGCCACAGCATATTCATTTTTTATCGTAGTGTGCACTTCATTAAAAATGGAAATCGTAATTTGCATAAATATCTAGCTTATCAAACTTATTTTGCTAAAAACATTCTGATTCTACACACCAATAAATCGAGGTTGGTATTGAGAGATGCTCGAGTTTTTCATTCAATATCTATATAGTTTTTGGACACAGCTCTTTTGGAATTTACATGGGTACTGTGACCTGTTAATTGCAGGTTATTCATATCAAGCAGAATTTATTAATAATTGTTACATGAAAAGAAGTCTCTTACTATGGCTTTCAATTTGATACTTCGAAATAGAGACGGTGTTTTATCAATTACGTTTAACAATATTCAGTTTCATTTCTATGTTGATTCGATACATCTCATTGAACTCGAAATAAGAGTCTGACACATTAGTTTCATATTTTATATGTTTTACTAGAGAAAGACATGGATGGCAAACTTACAAATAAACTTCTGATAAACTTGAAGACTTCAACTTTTCTATCGCCAACTTCCCTTGATTGTGTAGCAATATACCATTATCACCTGCATATGGAGCTTATGTCTCCCAGTTGATACGATACGCAATAACATTTAATGCGTACGAACAACTAAAACGAGACAGACTACCGACAAGTAAGTTTATACAAGGATATCAATCTTGTTAAACGTCAACAGTTCACAAATTCTATGGTTTATATGTTAATTATTACCCCAAGCAACATTTTGAAATATGTTTCGAAATTATTTTCAAAATTTACTTTTGTTATCTTTAAAATTGACAACACAAGCAAAATTATAATGATTTTGAAATAATCATCAAAAAGAAAGAAAAGTATGAGTAGTAAATATCAAAACGCCGTTGGAGAGCGTCTTGTCTGCTTAAAAGAAGGTCAATGTTTTACGTAGCGAGTCCTGTATTTCAATTTATTTTAGAAGTGAAATTATTGCAGTAATAAAAAAGACGTTGACATTCATTTTAATCATTAAATGCACATTTTTGACATTTGCATTGTACACATGTTTAACAAGTTAAAATTAGTTTACTCATAAAGAAAGACATTAAAAATTTGTTTCAATTAATAATATACACTTAATGCATTTTGACATTTGCTATACATGTTTATTTATACTGGTATGTGTTTGTTGATGTTACTACCAATCGCAAAGCTCTAGATTGATTGATTGATTGATTGTATGTTGTTTTACGTTCCGTTCGAGAATTTTTCGCTCATATAGAGACGTCACCATATACCGGTGAAGGGCTTCAAATTTAGATTTTACTCGGCACTCAGAGCCATTGAGCAGTGAGGTTCTTTATCGTGCCAACGTCTACCGCGACACGGGGCCTCGGTTTTTAAGGTCTCATCCGAAGGACCCGCAACTTTCACTTCAAAGTGCCGAGCGCTTGGCGAAGGAACAGTTGCTACATGTACCTATTTTTATCGACTTAGGTCAATCGCGGCCGTGATACGAACACACGACCCTCCGATCACGGAGCAAAGCTTTAGATCTATATAGGACAATCTTCTCACTCATGAGCGTATCAATTTGATGCTAGGATCTGGATTCGACAATGACTTTAATTCAATTACTTAGTACAGCAAACGATGAAAAGTACACCTAAACTGATGCATCCCGATGAAGAATCTTGTAGACCTAAGTAACGTACTAAAAGCATAAACCAATTTGTATGAGAAACCTACATTCATTAATTGGAAAGAATGACATACATATTTCATATTTGACGAAAGTTTGTTTCGGATTCTAAAAAAATTAAATGTGAAAGGGTTTTAACTTGCTTTTCAAAGAATATATACTATCTATATCAAATATGACTGGATCTCCAAAATTTGTTTGAATTAATTACCATAGGTACTAATTGTGTCCCATTATAAGCAGATCTTCTTTTGTGTTCTTATGAAGTCGAATTTATTCAAAATCCTACTTAAAAAGAATATATCTATTGTTGTGGCTTTAAATTCGACCTGTAGATAAATCGACGTTTTATCATTTAACAATGGAAGTATTAATTTTCAATCATACGTTGATTCGATTTATCCCAATAAACTCAAAATAGCAGATACCACGGAGCCTGACACATCTGATTCACCTTTGGAAATTTTACTAGAGAAAGACATTAATTTTGGTAGCAAACGAACAACTTCATGAAAGACGTGATGACTTCAACTTTTCTATCGTACACTTCCCTTACTCGTGTAGCAATATACAGTTATCACCAGCTTACGGAGCTAACGTCCTCCCGTTGATTCGATTCGCAAGAGCATGGTCTTCATATGAACAATTTCTAAAATGAGGCGGAATACTTACAAATAAGTTGATGATACAAGGGTATCTATAATAACATTTCAAGTCAAAAATTTTGCAAAGTTTGTTTGTTTGTATGTTGTTTAACGTCCCTCTCGAGAATTTTTCACTCATATGGAGACGCCACCACATGCCGGTTGAGAGCTGCAAATTGTGTCCTATACTCGGCACTTACGGCCATCGAGCAGTGAGGGATCTTTTTCGTGCCAGCACCTACTGCGACACGGGACCTCGGTTTATACGGTCTCATTCGAAGGACCCGTCTGGTCTCCACGTCACACAGTGGGATTCGAACCCGGGACGCAAGTATCAACTCCTTACGCCGCGACTCTAGTGCTGACGCTCTAACCACTGCGCCACGCGGGGGGCTGTACTCTTTGTGTTAACTTTAAAATCCTTATCTAATTCTGTAAATCAATTTACCTAACAATTACATCATTAACAGTTATTACTTATCACATGCGAATAGCAAAGAGGAATACCTTCCCTCTGTTGCGTACAAATTTCCCTAAAATATCAATAAAGCCCTGCCCAGCGCAAGAACACTCGATCCACTGGTGAAGAATTTTACAAATCCAGAAAAAATACCTTTGCTCATTTGTGCACTGTTGGTCCATTAAATGCCCTGGATCAGAGAATATTTTCGAAGAGTTAATGCATGTGCTTTATATTATTAAGTTCCACCCTAACACCAGAGCCATGAAATTCACAATTGTGAAAGGGGCAACCATGCTTATCCTAAAAGTGACTTTTTTATCTGCTAAAAACCCAGGGGATGTGATGAAAATTTTCAAAGAATTAATGCATTTGCATTAAGAGCTCTGCCTTCCAGAATCCTTGATCCTGGGCCATGAAATTCACCGCTTTGAAACCATTCACTTAGTTTTCCGCTAAATATAATGCTATATGATGCTATATGCCAAAATCGACTGAAATTGTTCAGCAGTTAGAGATAGGAAGTTGAAAATGATCAAATGTTAACGCACTACGAAAACAGAAAGTAATAGGTCTATCTTGTGACTCATGTTACTTAAAAAGTAAACAATTGGACTAGGTGTGACTTATCACGTGAACGTTATATGAATATCAATCTATTTCTTAAATCACTTAGATGTACTCGATGTTACACCTCTTTTGTAGTGTTACTTCAGTCTATTTCTTATTAATTTATTTTCTGCTTTGAAAACATCCCACTGGGGGACGTGGAGACCTTTCCTTCAGATGAGACCGTATGAACCGAGGTCCCGTGTCGCAGTAAGTGCTGGCACGAAAAAAATCCCTCACTGCTCAATGGCCATGAGTGCCGAGTATAGGTCAACAAATTTGCAGCTCTCCACCGGCAAGTGGTAGCGTCTCCAAATGAGTGAAAAAATCTCGAGAGGGACGTTAAACAATAAACAAACAAACTGCTTTGAAAACGGTATGACAATTAAATACGTGTTGACATATTAAACTTTCAATCTGAAACCAAATGGCAAAATGAAAGTTCTTAATTAAAAAAAAAGCAATGACAGAAAATTGAAATATATCGACAAACACCGATGGTCCGTAAATAAAGTAAGTGTATAAAATAGTACATGTAAAATTATATCTATATACAGTGTTTATTACATGTATTATGTTCAATAAAAGTGCCATGCACGTAAGTAAAAAATGAAATTTGCAATTCAAATTTTCAATACAGAAATAGCTTTAAAACAGTTAGTTTTAATATACACTTTACATGATTATCCTTTGCAACTTTTTCAGTTAAAATTATACATGAAAGTGTCAGAAAATATGCCTTAGAAAACGTTTTGAGAAATTCGTTAAATATCCTAGTAACACTACATTTTCATCCACTGTACTTCAGGTCTGTAGCAATCAAAAGTGTGTCCTGTAAAAAAAAGAAAGGATTTTAATTTGCTTAAAACACAATTTAAGTCAAAGTAGAAACACTTATTTCAAACTCTTCCTAATTTGATATTTTAAAAATACATTTATATTGAATACATGTATATAACCTTATTTAAGAAGAGGATAAACTAGTATTTACTCTATTTCTCTAGACATATGGCAAAACATCTGAGCCAACAAAACAAAAGTGTATCTAAGAGACAAAGTTAAAGGGTTCAAACTAATGTTGTACAAAGCAAATCTCAGTTTAGCGGTGCGAAAATCACATTTGAAGAATGTAATATTAAAATATAATTAAAATAGTGGGGGGGGGGGGGGATCCGGAAATAAGATATTTTATCGAGAGAAAATTCTAGCGGCGGCGATTTCTTGTGGATTATTATTTTCTAAAGGTACCCTAGTTAATTATTGTTTACTGTAGTTTAATATAGTAAATTCAAGTTTCAAAGTTATCATATTATAGTTAATCAAAGTTTTCACTATAGTATCATAGTGATCACTATAGTAGATCACAGTTTTCACTGAAGTGTCAAAGTTATCACTACAGTTAATCAAAATTGTCAAGGTTATCACTATAGTAAATCAGAGTTTTCAAAGTTATAACAACAGTAAATCAGAGTTTTCATAGTGATCCCTATAGTATCTTAAAGTTTCCATGGTTATTACTATAGTGTCATAGTGATCAATATAATAGTAAATCAAAGTTTCAAGGTTATCACTTCTGTCACTATAGTTAACTATAGTTTTCATGATGTCAAATTTATCCCTAAAGCTATCTATAGAAAATTATAGTTAACTAAAGTTTACCATAGTATTTTTTGTAACGGTAAACAGTGTTTCCTTTGTTTTTTTTTTTAAATTTATGAGGGCTCTTGGTCATCACGTCAACTTTGATCTGATCTGTTTACCAGAAGTCAATGTTACGCTGAGGTCCACCACTTCTACCGCCGCTGGATATACTGAATGATAAGAACTCTAAATTATTTATAGCTTCAGTTTACTTTTATTGCCCTTATTCTGCTGGTATTAAGATTATATGAGGTCAGTTATCAAATTACTGAGATTTGTTGTCTGGTTTTCGTTCATACTATTGAATTTCTTCATTGCATGCGATTATATTACATAAAATAATACATGGTCTTTTATACACATAATAGTTGCAAAATGATGACTAAAAACACATTTAATCTGGACTTCGTGAATGATATTCCAAGAAAAAAAATTTTGGCAAAAATGAAAGATGAAAAATTTAGTCCGATTTCCTCTGCACCACCATATATTTAATTTTGTTCTTGCATATTTTCTTCAAATAATTAAATATTAATTTTTTAAATAGATATTGAGTTATATCTTTGTTGTTTGTCCATTTAGAACATTTTTTGAATTAAAATATTGTAATTCATATCACTCCGTTTCTGTAATCTATAACCATCAGTAAACGTCATCCTTACATGTAAGCCAACCTTTTTTATGCCAGGCAGCTTAACACTTTTGTCTACGTTTGAAAAAATAAAGTGCCAAGCCACAGCATGATACGCCCGTCAAATATTGTTCAATTATCATAAACAGTTTAGAGTGCAAGATTGATTGATTGATTGTATGTTGTTTAACGTCCTTCTCGAGAATTTTTCACTTATATGAAGACGCCACCACTTGCCGGTGGAGAGCTGCAAATTTTGTCCTATACTCGACACTTACGGCCATTGAGCAGTGAGGGATCTTTTTCGTGCCAGCACCTACTGTGACACGGGGCCTCGGTTTATACGGTCTCATCCGAAGGACCGGTCTCCACGTCCCACAGTGGGATTCGAACCCGCGACGTAAGGATCAACTCCTTACTTCGCGCTAGAGTGTAAGAAAATCATGTTAACCTTGATACAAAGCTTTCCCTGATTTTTTGGCCATTGAATTTTAATTAAAAGTCAGAGCGACCTACTTTTAATACGCGATACACTTTCTACCCAAGATGTATCAGCTGACAAAGTTTGATAATTCTAGGCCTAATAGTATTAAAGTTATGAGCCGGACACGAAAAAGCTAACAGACGGACGGACGGACAGACATACGCTATAACATAATAAGACGTGCGTATAAAAATGAAATTTGAAGATAACGAACAGTATTCAATCTCGGAAGTCCAATGAAACGATACAAATTTGAAGCAGAGCAAACACGGACCTCAAAATTTAGAGGTAGGATAAGGTGCCTTGGAGGAGTGAGCATCCCCTGCCGACCGGTCACTCCCGCCATGTGCTCCTTGTCATGATCGGGAAACAAAAACAGAAAAAATCCGTAGACAGTTCAGTGTATAAATAATGGCCTAACAATTAGTATAAAAAACGCCAGTCAGCATTTGACTCAGTGATAGGTTGTATGTGCTGACAAGGTCATTGTATCAACCGAAAAACTTGCGAAAAGATGACTTCAAACGAGACTGTTGAAATCCTTGTTTCGTCGACTTGTTTGTTTATAGTTGCCTCGTTTTATAAATTGTTCATACGTAGAGCATGCTCTTGCGTATCGAATCAACTGAGAGACATAAACCCCATATGAGGTGATAAGGGTATATTGCTACATAAGTAAGGGAAGTTGACGATTGAAAAGTTGAAGTCATCACGTTTACCATAAAGCTTTGTTGTTAGGTTACCATTAACGTCTTTTCTAGCGAATATCTAAATATTAAATAGATGTGTCAATTTGTGGTATCTTTTATTTCAAGCGCATTGGGATATATCGAGTCGACATATGAATGAAAGTAACTATTCATAATTGTTAATTAATAATACATCGTCGAAATGTCGACTTGAAGGCCAAAGCAAGTGTTTCATGTTGATAAGGAGGTCAACATAACATTTATACTGTACTTTTCCTAAATTTTAAAGTTCATTCTTTTTCGAATGTACTTCCCCCCCCCCTCCCATTTTACACTATGTGCAAAATGTAACAATGCAATTAATGTGCAGGAGCCTACATTGTATAATTTTGAGTCTAAGACGTCTTATATTCTTTGAGTCACCTTTTCTTACCCCATTTTATATAGTTAAATACATGTATGTTTGACTATTTTCGTTAATTACTTCAATAAATACGATTTTTCACTTCAACATGGTGTTATTATTAACTCAATAACATTATTTCAAAATAATTTATTAAATAAGCATCAATACCTACCCATTTCTTATTGCAACTGTATTAAATTAGAATTTCCTTCTTAGAAACAAGTTTAAATTCTTGTACAATAATAATCCAATGACGGTGACATTTAAAAGAAATATATTCTAAAATGAAAGAATAAAGTGCCCCGCCACAGCATGATACGCCCGTCAAATATTGTTCAATTAATTGTCATAAACAGTTTAGAGTGCACGAAAATCATGTCAACCTTGATACAAGGATTTCAATGATTTTTCCATAATGATTCCTTATAATATTTATTTATACATCTCCTGTGGTGTAGGCATTAATTATAACAAATATTACATTATAGATCCTAAACTGGTTGTGTTAGAGCTTGACAAATGCCCATCTGTAGCCCCCCCCCCCCCTCCCAGCTTTCAGATTTGTGAGACATGATGCTCTGAATTAATTGATATTTTTCAAAAATTAAATAAAAATTTCATACTAAACAATATCAATCTAGTCTTAACAACTTAATCTATATCAAATTAATATTAAAAATAAAAGGCTGACCATCAAATGACATATGCTATAAATTGACAAGCAGTTCTTCTGTCTAATTCCCAAATGATACAGATAAGAGCTGCTTGATCAGAGATTCTCTAAACGAAATGATTGAGACAGCTAGCCTTCCTACACTGAACTCATTAATTAATCTTTAACTGGATGCATGTCCACTTATTACTCCCAACGCAAGAATGGATCTATAGATACTATTTGCTTTGTAGTGCAATAAAAATGCATATTTATGTCATTCTGAAATTAAATTTGAAAACAAAGATTTATTTTAAAATTTGTTACAAAGATTAATAAAAAAGAAAAAATTCTTTGCATAATCTTGATGCAACATTTTTAATAATTTAAGTAATTAAGGTTCGTGCATTACTTTTAGATTTGTAGGGACTATCTACCAGAATTAAAACATTTGTTTAAATACTTTATTTTTTTTTAAGATTTAATGTCGGACTGGTTTTAAGCTGCAATTCATTCCGATATCAATTATATTATACAATATCAAATTAGTTTATTATACAATATCAAATTAATTTATTATACAATATCAAATAAGTTTTAATTACTTTTCACCAAATTCACTTTAAAAGTTAGGCTAGTCAACTATTTAATCCAACACGGTTGATTCTTTTTGCCCAGTTCCCAAGAGATATAGATAACACCTGCTTGATCAGAGATGCTCTACCGGTTAGCTCCTCACACTAAACTCATTAATTTCTTTCTAATTTGACATGCAATTTTCTGTTATCAAATTCTCCTTGACCAGTGCTTGATAATTACACCCCCTGGGAGAGGTGGAATTTCTCTTGTAACATTACATTTGTTATAGATTGCTGTAAAGTATATAATGAAAAAATAAGTATTTTCTTGATTTAACATTTTTTTAAATAAGGATACTGCAACACTCATGCATTTTTTGGGGATTGTGTAATCTTATAGTAAAAAGAAAAGTTTTTTTTAATTTTACCTAAATTAAAGGTCACAGTGACCTTGAAATAGGTCACGACACACCTTCTACCTAAGATGCATAAGTTTGATGATTCTAAGTCCAATAGTTTTCTAGTTATGAACCGGACAGGATTTTTCCATATTGACCATAGCATCTTAATTAAAGGTCAGAGCGACCTACCTTTAGTGCGCGACACACCTTCTACCCAAGAAGTACTAGCTGACAAAGTTTGATAATCCTAGGCCTAATGGTATTAAAGTTATGAGCCGGACACGAGAAAAGCTAACAGACAGACAGACGGACGGACATGAACGCCATAACATAATACGTCCCGTCTTTAGACGGGACGTATAATAAAAAGTGAGCAAACTCACATACCCCACGCTCCCTCAAAACTTGACAATTCAACACATAATAAATGGCATTGTGCACTTTAAATTCACAGTATAATTCATAAAGGGGCATTACTTGCAAAAAATCATCACATCAAATATTCTTGCATGTAAGGACATTCAAATCTTTGTATGTTACAAATTTAATTGGGCTGAAGTTTCTAGATAAATAATGGAAACAGAATTTCTTGGTAGTATACAAATCTACACATTATGTCTGATTTAATACCTACAAAGTTAAAGGAAATTCAGTGCAGGAGTTATGCTGACAAACAGTTATTTAAATTCCTCAATTATTTCGATTTGTTAATGAGTGTTACACCATGACGTATGACAATTTACACATTTAAATAATTGATGGAAACAAAATTATGATGTAGTCATATAAATTTGTTTATATACTGTACTTATGAAATTATTTAAGGTAAAGCGGGGGAGGGGACTTTTTGTGTACTTCTATCCAAGATTTTGTGTGTGTGTTGAATCATTAATATTTTGATCTCAAAATCAATAGGGGTCTTAAAATATTTCATAATATTTCAAAACATATTTCGCATAAAATTTCATTACAAAAGCTGATTCCAGTTGATTTCCTTATTACCTGGCTGGAAAGTTTCTTTAAAACAATAGCAAAAATTCTAAGTGCAAAAATAATGGAATCGGAATTTCCTGGCAATATACACATCTACACACTGTGTCCTAAATATCTGCAAAGTTTGACGAAATTCTGTGCAGCGGTTTAAGAGGAGTTGCGCTGACAAACTGTTCATCTCTATATTCAAGATATGGCTAAAAATCTAAGTTGAAAAGTGCCGAAATTCCCAGAAAAATAATGGAATCAGAATTTCGTGGCAATATGCACATCTACACACTGTCCTAATTTATCTGCAAAGTTTGACGAAATTCTGTGCAGCGGTTTAAGAGGAGTTGCGCTCACAAAAAAGCAGGACTGACGGACGGACGGGTCAAGAACATTATAACCCCTGTAACTTGTTGCGTGGGGTTTAAAAAGGGGGGAAAGGCATTTTTGAAAGGGGGTAATTCTAAGCAGTTGTTGAGAGTACAATGTTATATATTAAATGAAGTGGATAATTCGTGTTGATGATTTCATGCACGTACAGGTAGATTTTCTGCTTTGAATGATGGTGAAATAATAAAAACTCTATCCATAATTGAGGGCCTTGGAATATCTTGAGTTCTTCTCCGTTTTCATTCGCTAAAGAGATTTTTACGTAAGTCTTCTAAGAAATATTCATTTTGATTGACTTTAACACCTTTGTCTCTAAAGAGTATATAAATGAATAGTTGTTCAGCTTTGATCAGACTAAGGTTATTTTTGCGATTTTTTTTCATTCTAAATTTACTAACATGAAGCAACTTCGAATTGTATTTCTCGGAGCCGAGCAGGTCGGCAAAACAAGCACTATTAAACAATTTCTCTACGGCTCATTTCAAGAAATGACCGAAGCAACTCTCGGTGAATGCTACAACGAGACTGTTTGCCTACCAAGTAAGTTAAAATCCTTTCCAGCAGCTCACTTTATTTCATGCACTCTCTTTAGAAAAAGAAATATTGTTTTAAATTTCTCTCAAAAGTTTATGAATATACCTATTCATCTCTGTACTAAAATGTTCTTTCTTTTTGCAGATGGCATCTGTCAACAAATACAGATTATTGATACAGCTGGCAGCGATGAGTTTCCGGGCATGACAGATTTAAACATCAGAAATGGAGACTATTTCGTCGTTGTGTATGCAATAGAGGATCGCAACACTCTTGATCACGCATTAACATTATGTCAAAAAATTAGACATATTAAAGGTACATGTAAATAGATGACGATAAAGACTTTAGAGAAAACATTTCCTACTGTTTTATAATTATGATTTATATAAAAAAAAATCCTGCTTTCATTCGATGAAAATTTAAATTTACTTAAAGGTTTAAAATTTTTCTTTCAGGAAAGGATTTCAACAGAATAGTGCTAGTGGGAAATAAGATAGACTTGAATAGTTCTAGACAAGTAACTACAGAAGAAGTCCTACAAAAATCCATAGCCGATAAAAATTTCTGGTTTACTGAAACCAGTGCCAAACTGAACTGCAATATTAGATGTCTCTTCCAAATCATTTTAAGAAACTATGTGAAATCAGATGACTTGTTCCGTAGAAATGAAAATACAAAAGTGACAAAAAGCAAGAACATGAATACAAAAGTAATTCGTTCTAAATCAAGAAAAACATCTATTCAAAATCTTGTATATTCACTACAAGCCAAAGGAGAATGGAAACGTATAGTTTAAGTACCATTTATTTGCATACATTTATCCTTTATTAAGGTGTAAACAAGTAATATGTACATTTCACTTTTTTTTTTACTTATTTAAACAATAAATGAACATTACCTTGTCATGTTGAGTGTTAGATACGCATTTGCTTAATATTTATTTGGGGATTTGTTAAGACTATGCATATGACAGCTTAGCAAGGATGCGCCCATGAATGAGATTTTTATCAATAATACAGAAAAGAAATACTAGTAGTCAAAATATTTTCTAGAGCAATTTGAGATAGTATTAGGCTCAAAGGGCAACCTGGTAGAGAATAACTACCAAAACCTCTGCTTTAGGTGAGACGACCTTTCATAAGGACCTTTTCCCTCTGCTATGGGAAATTTTCAAAAAATATCCGTTGGTCATATAACTCCCTTCTAGGAAAAATTTTCTCTTCTGGGATAATGAAATTAAGGGAGGTTTCATATAAAATCTTTTATGAAGTCTAAGCCTCTACCAAAGCCTTTTTACTATTGTCAGCATATGAACAAATGTTGTTGATGGTCACTTCGTGAAAAACATTAATAGATGACGGGAATAAACCTATCACTTAAAATAATTTATCTCATCATGTATATATAAAACTGAAAATATTAAATTTTCCAGAAATCTTTGTACCTGAGTCAACTTCTATTTCAGAAGCACTTAATAACACTTTATAATGAATAATTTTCACTATTCATTTTACCATGCTTCTTAATTTTAACCCTTTGCACCCTTAAAATCAGACACACAAAAACACATTTAAAGGACGTCTTTCAGGAAAATCCAGTTGGATAACCAGTGAAGACTTTTCTATGAAATATGGTAAAAGAATAAAAGTATTAACGCAAATTAAAAGAAAATTATCAGTTACCTTAGCAATTGTCACTTGCGTGTCAACAAAATGTACAGATTCGATGACGGGTAGAGGGAAACCTTTACTTCCAAAGTCTAAAGAACAAAACATATATCATCATGATATTATGTAACATTCATTAGTGTTGTAAATCATATGCTAATCGTATGAATTAAACTTTGTAAAGAATTTGACTTTTAAAGAAAAAGGAATGACCTGAGCGCTAGCAAAATAACTCAAAAAGTGCACATTATCAGGTCCATCACATTTCTAAGAGGTCATGCATTTAACGTGTATATACTACAGAAATTACGCATGCCATAACATTTTAAACATACAACTTTGATATATATGTACGTCAGTAAGCAAGTGATAATCATATCGAAGACCTACCATTTAGTTTTGGTTCCACGAATACCGCAACAACACCTTTTATAATCAAATCCAAAACCTGGGGCTACAAAATAAGAGGAAAAAAATGCATTAAAATTTAATATGCATATTTATTGTTATTATACAGCTTAATATTCAATTTTTTGTAAGTGCAAGATTATATCCAGCTTACTGAAAGTTGTCCGATTTTCGAATCTTTCACTTTTACTGCAATCCTAATTTTGGTAAAATAAAACAAATGTTTTATTATCAATCTGATAAAGTATAGATTTGTGATAATAACCTTTCCAGGTGTAACTCTTCATAGGCAGTAACTGTTCTTAGGCAGTGTAGTGATTTTTCTATGCATCTATGTGACATTTTAGCAAGTATCTATTTTGTATCAAGATATATTCAACAGTTGCAAGCAGGGTTCATTGAAATCTTAGCTCATGACTTTCCTTTTTAAACGAAGACAAACTAATTACATTAGAAACCGTCTCATTTGGTATCACTTATCTTACAATAATTAAAGATTTGTATGTTTTCCAGAAGAACAGAAAATTTGTCAAAAATTTCTTTTTCGTACATAAACACAACCTTCATAAGAATAACAATATAGCCCAAGATCTGGTAAACTTACGGTAATTTTAGGACTTTGGCATAAATCTTCTCATTTTGTATCCTTACAGATATTGTTGATGACATCATCTACGTGAACAATGTATTTGAAAAATACCTGTAGTTAATACTATTAAAATTAAAATTCATTTACTTAATAAGGAATGATCCTCTGGTAAGAGAGATAACTAAAAGCGATAATGAACTTTTTCAGATTACTATCATTCTGTTCACTTATATAAATTTTGTTTAACACTAACTATTTTCCAAAAGAAAAGGCACACAATTGCAGCATACATTGCCATGCGGGATTTTACAGAAATGGCAATTTTATAAAGACAATTCTATAAAGAAATAAAACTCATTAATCCCAGTTAGAGAACCTTTAACATGTTCATCTTCAATGATTTGTCTAATTTTGGTAATGATTAAATTAATTTGTTTTGAATTTTATTTTTAGCTTTATGTTCTGTTAGAAAATGGATAAATTTACATTTAAAAATTCCATGTTCGTTTAGATGACCATTTTCGCTCAAATTTAAATTAAATTTCACAAATGACAAACTATATTCTAGTAAGCATACTTACTGCTGACAATGTTAAGAAGTGGGTGTACTTCCCACCTTGTTGTTGAGCAAAGAAAAGGATGTCACCAGAGGCTTCCACCATAGTAGACCCATTCCGGACAGTCATGTTTGGCATCGTTGTAGATTTCATGTATAACATCACTGTTGTGTTGGGAAATCTCTTTCCGATCTAAACACAATAATTTCTTATTAAATAAATGTTAAAATGAATACAAAAGAACATCAAAACATGAACATAGAAACTAAGTGACTCTAGATCTGTTTTTCTTACGAAATAAGATGATGATTGAATGTTTTCGGACTTATCTAATTCTTTATACATTAACCCGCACAAACATCAATTGGTAAATTTAGAAACAAAGCTTTTATACTTCTGGGATGAAATTCCCTATGCATGTAATCTTTTGACAGGTTGTGTTCAAAACCCCTCCAGGGAGCTAAAAGTAAAATAATGTAGGTACATAAAGTTTTAAAAAACATATATATTAATTAGAAATTCATTAAAGTAATATCTCTTCGTGGCTTGAAAATACTTACATCTTTGTTTGTAACGTTGTATTGGAGTTGATTATATTTGTATGCATTATAAGACATAGAGTTGAATAGAAAATCAGACACCCAAAGGTACATCATCCTTGATGTATTGGAAAATCTCAACAATGGAGGAACTGGAAAAGGTGCCTCGTTCGGGTTTGATTTCCAAAATACTTCACCCTAATGTTTGTTAATACATGTAGTTACTAAGAAGGATTGTAGAAGACAACATGTTGTAAACATTATTAATATACATAATGCAATAAACTAATATCTCTCTCATGTAAATATTGTTGTAAACAAGTGATTCAGTATCTTGTATAACTCCCATTTAAATCGTTGCAAAATTTGAAATACATATTCATTGTAAGTGATATTTGATATTACTAAAAGCTAAAAAAAAAAATACAGGAATAAATTAAAAGAAAAATTATTTCAATTATAAAGAGACAAGTGTAGATATGTAATTCTAAAAAAAAAAACTATTTCATTTCATATATTTTATTTATATCAAGAGCTCGAATTGGGGATGAGGTGGACTTGCTTAAACATGAAAAAAAAACTAAAGGTTGTTTATGGATGCCCATTGATTTCATACGCATCGAAAGGAATATTACAGAGGTACATAAACGTAAATAAAAATTTCAGTTTTGTTGAAATTTACCTTATGGTATGTCTCCATAAATGTAGATTGAAATGAAGGTTTTGACAGGAATCTGTAATCCAATAGGAACAGCTTCGCTATTTCCACCGTAACTATAAGTTAGTAAATAACAAAAAGTTGTACATGTTACTAAATTAATATCTCTTAATCTTATTTACATCAAATTGAAATTCGATTTGTGCATCTTATATGTACCTGGCAGTTTTTTAAGACTTTCCATTCCATTTACATTCACAAGATTGTTAAGCTGTTGGCATAACTACAAAACAAACTAGAACACTTAAAAATGATTTATTTTTTAAATAGTAAACTAATTATGTTTCAATTCAAAAAGAAGTCTTTTTTTGTCACTTTTACTAACAATTCCATTGCTTCCTCCAACAATATCCTTCAGTTTATCTGCCACTATACCAGAAAACAAGTTGTAGATCCATGCAGTGCCGCCATGAAAGCTTATGTCCGCTGAGTCAACACTGCAGCTACAACCAACTGATTTCATTGTAGGATGCCCCGTAGTATCCGACCCTTAAATTGGTTGAATTATTATTTATAACCAACTCATAAATATAACTCATACTCTTAACAGCTGATCTGCGTAAACTTTTAGTAAGGTATTCTCATTTTTAATGCCATTACACGTTATGGTAAAGAATTAACGTAGGTCGCGGGTTTGCTGACGTCGTCAAAACTGGGTACACAATATATATGATTTGGGCGACTTTCTTGTGCACATTTGATTATGACGTCACAATGAAAGAGAAATCTGCGATGATTTTTGTTTTATTAAATTCTTCAGTATATCATTATTTAGCTATAACTTTTCTTGGAATTGGTAGTTTAGTGTTATATTACTTAAGCAACAACTTATCACAAATAATGAAGGCTTTTTACGATTTGTATCGTCCATACAATACTTAGATAAAACTTTTGTTGGAATTTGTAATTTAGTGAAGAACGCTTATTACGATTCGAATGATCGACACTGGAAATATTTAAAAAAAAGTTTAATTATTTGTTATCAATCGCATCTTCTCAGGCCTTTCCTGCAAGCTTGGAAAAACAAGTGGTTGTTTTCGGCATGTCGGAAAGGCCCGAGAAATTGCGATTGATTTGTTTTCACTTGGTATCACGAAACGATATGGACACAAGGTTCAACTGACCTTTTTCCTTTGATCGTATTTGAATTATCAGTTTGTTTTATTAAGAAAGAAGCCATTATTTAAAGAAACAGATGTGGTATGTAAAATAAATATTTTGTTTAAATATATACTGAAAATATATTGTATATAGCGATATTTGGCAGAAATTCGTAGATTTAAGCGCCTTGCTGAATGGTCTAAATAAAAACATTTTACTTGAATTAAAGGATACCGTTTTCCGCCAGCACGCTTGAAAAGGAAAATACACAGCCAAATGAAAGGACGTGTCTAATAAAAGTAATAACCATTCCATTGATATTGAATTATTATGATACGATTCACGGGTCACTTGAAAGCAGACAGACGTTAAATTCTTTTTTATAAAAATTATTTTAGCTTATTTTTCTGCACTGAATACCGGATAGATATTCACGACGTCAAGCATGACGTCGCGATATTTTATGACGTCGTTCTTAAAAATGTTATATTTTGCGATATAAAAGCAATTATCTACATTTAAATTACGCGAAAACTAACTCGAAGATATATTAATTTTTTCACATTGATTTATTTCAAATCAATTCTTTGTTAAAATACCAAAGGGAAAACAATTTCGTCTGCACCATTTAAAAGTTATTGATATTTTTTGAAACAAAATCTTGCCTCAAAACGAGCCGAAAACGACGTTTTTCTTATATAATTCAATAGAATAACGTTGAAAATGTAACGACAACAATGGCATGTTTGGGATATAATTACACAAAAACGATGCAGACGAATTTTATAAAATTTTCAGAGAATATAAAACGAAGGTAGAGGATTCATATAACTAATTTTCATGGTATGTTTTCGGACACTTTTAAATGGCCTGCAAACCCGCGACCTACGTTAAAGTAAAAACTTGATGATTCTTGAGTAATGTGAAAACAAGGAGCCGAAACTATTCAACCTTAAATAAATACATGAGAAACAAATCCCTTCATAATTACGGAATAATTAAAGCAAATTCATACTCTTATTTTAAATGACTATTTTTTAGTGATAATTATTGAACTTCTCCCGAATGAAAGCAACAGAATTGTAAAATGTATTTTATGATTTAAAATAAAAAATTAAAGGCTTATAATATATGGATTTGTTTGTTCTCAAATAATCACATGCATTAAAGAAAAAATTCTCTCTTTTATTTTCATTTTTTATGTGATAATCTGTAATTGACTTTTGATCTGTTGTCAATTTAAACAAAACAATTTTTAATAGTAGGAAAGACTAGAAAGAGACACATATCGATGATGAATTGTGAGTTTAAGATACTTCCTCACCCAATTCTATATTAATAGCAGCATTAATGCCACTTGCTCTCAGATCAAAACTTCCAGAATCCGATATAGGAAATCTGTAAAAAGAAAAGAACACATACATGTAGCTGAAAACGTTTATAAAAGATATAAAACGAATACAAAAAATGTTATAATCTTCATCTTAAGATATGTAATTAAAATGTAAAGTATATGACATAGAATTATTGTTTTAAAATGTCTTACATTCCGTGGTATTTATAATGAAATTTTCCGTGGACGTTAAGTGAACTTCCGCTTGTACTCCAAGCCACTCCAACCTTCTGTATCAAAGAGACTCTACTGCTAGGCTTGCTAAATGCGTTTATCTTTAATCTTGAATGAGATATTAATATCATTTATTTTATATTCCAACAGAATACGATAACAATTTGGGATGTGCAAATGTAAATATTCCTTGAAAAATAAAAACACAGGTGAAAATTACAATTTATTTTATAGATTTTTAATGTTATTCAATTACCCTGTGATGTCATAAGAAACGTCCCCAGAACTACCGTGTTGATCCGGAATTTCCTGGCCCGTCACCTGTTTGGAAAGTATGTCTAACGCAACATCTGTGGCTGTCAATACAGCAAAAAAAAAAAAAAAAAAAAAAAAAAAAAAAATTGCTTACTGACGTACATATTAAAGATAATGATTTTAATAAGCTCTTACATATGAAGTATGAGACCAATTATTTTTCAGGCATTTATGCAACGAATGCTTATAAGTATATATCTACAAATGAATAAAGGTTGCATAATACAAGTACATGTATTTTGTACATGTAATAAAGTTGTTTTTAGTGTTGTATTTCCTTGTTTGCTTTTATATAAATCAACATGAAATATCATATCTAATTTATGATTTCTTACCTAAAGATACATGTAGGAAGAAATGCTATAGATATTCAAAAGTGGCGTGAAAGGCATCGATGGGTAAAACTATCATATAGAATTTCCACGAAGCATGAATTTAGGCAGGGACTCGTGCAAATAAACATGGATGTATCGGTATAGGTATTTAATAACTGTAGCGTATACATTAACAATTATTTTTTGTGTCTCTAGCTGAATCAGGTATTCATAACTGAAGAAATTCAACTCGGTGATTTTTTTTATTTCAATATTAAGAAAACAACCACCATGTTGTATAATTCCTTTTTGTTTGGATGAAGCCTTTGTTAAATGGTTACACTAGCTAGTAAAAATTATATTTTTTCCTGAATCACTACATACTACATTTATCGTAGTTGGCCACACACAAACACACAGAAAGAGGAGAGAGAAAAAGCGAGCAAGAGAGAATTTCAACATACCATAATTAAGCGCTTTGTCTGTTATTCTTGTTTGTAGTCCTGGTGTATTACATTTTATGCTCGCCACAGTTATCTGTAAGACAATCAGCCAGTAAACAGGTCCCATGTCCGCAACTTTTCTATAGATTCACATTATTTTACTAACTAAATCGCCATGTTGATTTGGGCAGTGTTTACAAACATGTGTAATAGGCTGTGACCATTTAAACACACCCATGACCTTTCACACAGCCCTCTTATTAAATACGTGTACGGAATGTAGTGTATAACTTAGCATTAGCACACATTGTGACGATGGGCATACTCGCCTAAATTACGGGATTGAATTCAGCGTACATAATAATGTTGCATGTATTTCCTTTTTCAGTAAGTATAAAGATACTAAATTTCAACAATAAAATTATTATAATAAAAATAATATCTACACGGAAAAACCTACTGTGACTGCACCTCCTTTGCTTTAATATATTTTCTATGTTCAATAATGACATAATAATATGGGAGAAATATGTGGTCTAAGATCATTGTAGTGTGGTAGATATAAATGCTGTTCTATGCATGTTGGTTTAATAGATTATTAAATGATTAAAAATGACCTGAAATTTGAGAAAGAAATTCTTTTAATTGATTAATTATACTTTTGTGTTGAAAGCCATGAGCACTGTGTAAGTATTGTGCTGAAGAAACGCGGGGTTTTTAAACAGGTCGACCTGTTAAAGATATAGTCCGAAAAATTAATTAATCTAAGCATTTTTTCTCAGGTTATGCGTCCGACGTCCGCAGAGTTAAACGTATCTAGTACAGAACCATCTAAACATAGCGATATAAAAACAAAATTAATATATATTTCAAAGTCGGGTGATGTAAAACAATGATGTCATGAACAAACATAATTTAAACTGTATATATATGCAAACTCTCACGTTATCCGTTCGATGTTCGTTTAATTCTATGTTATTTTGATATTCCTATGTCAAATTAAATATAGGCCAGACTTTACCGACTCATGACAACTCAGGTTGTTGGACTACAATGCAGCTACATCAAAGTTTGTTTTTTAAATGAAATTCAGAATCTAATTCACAGAAGATTAGATACATTTATTTAGATATTTTTCAAAGATATATTTTCCATGTTTTAACACGGTTATATTATTCCTGTAAGAGCTAGGAGATGTATAGAATTGATAAGATATCCATGACTGGCTGTAAATTTCTAAAAGGTCGGGAGTGGACCGGGGGAGGGAGACGGGGGTGTACTCGCCTTAAATTTTCTAGGTCAATCCCTTTATCAGGAGGAATTTATAAACCAACAAAGAATGTCTTGTGTTCATATTAAAGTTTTGTTAACATATACCAAACTACAAAAGAGACAAGTCACTCAGCACACCACGACTATTTCTAGGCAATGCCATTTCGCACAGGTACCACAATTACAAACTTATGGCAATTTTTATGGGAGCAACTTGTGCTGTCAGTATTGCTTGGTTCTCCCCTTAGATTGTTTTTGTTATCGTTACATAAAATGATAACATTCGTTTTATTGTCATCAAATAAATGACAATATTCACAGTCACAATACTTGTGTTATGTTTGGACTGTTGTTCCTATATTATGGAACTTTGCCAGATCAACAACATTACATAACTCTAGAGGCCCAAGGGCCTTAACGGTCACCTGAGTATAATACAACAATTTAGAAGTTAAATACACTGATAGATGAAGCTTTGTTGCCCTAAAGCAAGAGAAGTAGGAAGATCAGGATCAACAAAATAATTAGTCTAGTATTCAGTATCAACTCATAAATTAAGTTCAATCTGTCCCCCACTTAACACTATCACCATGCAGACTATTAACAAACTATTAGTGCTTCTGTACTATTTTTAAACCATATTAAAACCTCTAGCATTGACCTCTCTTATGGTCTTTGAAGAACTTTTAATAAGATAAGTTATTTTTGTCTCATTTTTATTTATCTATTACTTACAGGTCTATCTGATTATTAAAACTAAGAAAATACTTTTTGAATTATACAATAAACATTCTTGCATAATTATCTTATTCTATTAACCTTTCAAATACATTATTTACAGTGATTAATTATCAAAGGTGAATGGAAAAGGGGAATAACTTCTCTCAGTAGAATACAAATTACATGTAATAGAACCCTGCCCAGGACCAGAATGCTTAGACAAATGGTCCAGATGTTCAAAAATCTGGTAGGAATACACTTACTTATATCATTTAAACTTTTACTCAGTTTGCTTCCGATATGCCCAGAAGCAGAGAAGAATTTCACAGGTACAATGCATTTTCACTACAGATTCAACAAAGCCTTACCCTAACACCAGAACCCAAGACCAAGGGTCAAGAAATTTACAAATTTGGAAGAGTTACCCTCATCATTATAACTATGGATTTTAAAGAATTAAAACTTTTCTACTATATTATCAAAAGCCCCCCCCCCTCGTTATGCCAGAACCCCTGACCCTAGGACCACAAGATTTAAAAATTCTGTTCGAAGCTCCCATTTTCATCATAGCTAAGCAATTTATTGATCAGCTCAACACTAAGGAGCAGACAGGATTAATCAATGATTAATTAATAGAATTAATGATTTTTCAGTATATAATCAATAGAGCCCCGCCCTTACACCAGAACTCCTGACCCTGGGGCCATGAATTTCACAATTTTGGAAGAGGCACTCTTGCTCATTATAACTATGTACTTAGTTACTTTATTTAATACCCAGGAGCAGAGAAGAAGATTTTCAAAGAATTAATGCATTTTCACTATATAATCAATAGAGCCCCGCCCTAACACCAGAACTCCTGACCCTGGGGCCATGAATTTCACAATTTTGGAAGAGGCACTCTTGCTCTTCATAACTATGTACTTAGTTACTTTATTCAATACCCAGGAGCAGAGAAGAAGATTTTCAAAGAAATAAGGCACTTTCACTATATGATCTATATAGCCCCACCCTGGGGCCAGAACCCCTGACCCTGGGGCCATGAATTTCACAATTTTGGTAGAGGGCTCAATGCTTATTACAATGATGCCAACAGTTTGACTGCTTGATGTACAGGAGTAAAGAATAAGATTTTTAAAGATTGCATTATTTTTGGTGGTTTTAGCCCCACCCCTCAGGCCCCAGGGGGGCAGGGACCATGAAATTCACAATTTTTGTTCCCCATTCACCCATAGATGCTATATGCCAAATTTGGTTGAAATTGGTTGAGCGGTTTCAGAGAAGAAGCTGAAAATGTTCAAATGTTAACGCACATCGCACGACGCACGCCGACGGACAAAAACGGATAGCAATAGGTCACCTGAGTGACTCAGGTGACCTAAAAAGGCAACGGAAACATCCGATTTACATATATCTAAATTACTTTCGAAAGAATGTTATTTAATCCTTTACTGCTACCCTAAACATACATGAAACATGTAACTATGCTGAAAAAGTTTTGTGTTGACTAATTTTCCAAATCGATCTAGTTCAATCATAAATATATAACAGCTTAAAAAATTGGTTTTAAAAGAAAACTATACGATTCTGGAAAGATGAAATATATTTCCAGCACCTCTAGCACTACACACACTATTTATTTCCGGCTAAATAAAATATTTAATTTAATATACATATTCTACAGACCCCAGGGTATCAATATCCGCACGTGGGACGTTTGCACTCGATTTAACGCTCATCTTGTAATATGAAGAAGTGGTCATTTTACCCTCTTTGGTGTGTGTATACTATTTCATAGACGAATAACTTTTGAGACTGTTGCAAATTGTGGTGATTTTTCATTCCAGAAATAAGATATCATTTTTAGAGTTTCATTGGGATATGACATGAAGTTGGTCACGTGATTAAATCTTATAACGCCCGAAGAGCGTTATAGTAGATTTGACCAATGAAACTCTAAAAATGATACTCTATTTCTTATATTTATATTTTATACTTTTATTCTTGTTACAAAGAAAAATACGCTCTTTTTAGACTTTGTTATGAAAATGCAACAAACGTACCTACGACATCATGTGACGTCACAATCGGAACTTTCCAAATGACTCGCACAGTTTGCTTTCTATACGCAAGGAAGTCTGATCACATGACCAACTGCATGTCATTGAAAATTGAATGTCAATTTAATTCATATTCTCATATAAGGAAAGACATCTGCAAACGTAAATATAAAGTCTTATTCAATTATGGACTCTTTCGGCTTCGCCTCGGTCAATATTGATATTTTTCTGGTAAATAACAAATCATATTCACTACCGAAAGATTCCATAATTGTGTTATAATATAGTCAGGATTTGAATGAATAAGACGTTGAAGGCTGCAGGAGGATTACATTTTCATTAACGAGCTTTTGTCGTAGAAATATAAAAAAAATGTCCAGATTACAACTTATAACAAGATAATCTTGCGATAGACTTGCCTAACAATTTTCCTGCTCAGATACACCTCGAGGTTTGTATGGAGCGTAGCGGAGTCAGCCGAGGATTGCCGATTGGTTCAGATATACAGCTGGCTCTAGCCCTTGCAACCATATTGTTTTCAACGTTATTTGAGGTATTGATTGTGACGTCACAATGCCGCTGCACGTGCTCTGACCCTCCGTCTTCAAATCCAGTGAATATTATACACTTATCCACTGTCTGTGAGTGGGATAGCTCTTTTATCAAACCCGCGACACGAACTATTCCCCGAGGGCTTGCCCGGGTGGAGTAGTTCCTGTCAAGGGTTTGATGAAAGAGCTATCCCAGTCACAGCCAGTGGATAAGCGTTTTATTATACTGATGTATATAATAATTTCTGAGGGTTGGATTTACCTGATACTACAGTTCGGTAGTAAAAACATGAAAAAAAAATATAATTATAAAAGTTTTGAACAAGTATTCAGAATAAGATAACACTGCTAGAATGAGCTGAAATCCTGATGACGTCACAATGCTACTGAAGTCAGGATGACATCATAAGTCTATAGATTGATTACAGGAAATCAAAATTGGTGGCAAAAATTGCATGAAAATTTTCCGAGGAGTGGATAGCAAAAACTAC